ACAAAGATGTTGTGTCCGCCGAGAACTAAAAAAAATAAATATTAAAAATTCTCTCTCTCTCTCTCTCTCTCTCTCTCTCTCTCTCTCTCTCTCTCCCTCCTCTCTCTCTCTCTCCCTCCTCTCTCACTCTCTCTTTAAAAAAAAAAAAAAAAAGAATGTGGAAGGCGTTAGTTGGACAGGACTGGTTGGTGCACTGGAAAGAGATGTGAAGAAGAAGAGGTATTAGGTTGTCTCTGGAGTTACTGCCTTAAAGAATAGATGGATGGTAATGCCGTTCACTGATACAGGGAACACTGGAAGATGACCAGATAGGAAGGACTGTGTAAAGTCAGCTCTGGACATCCTGGTTTTGACGTGTCTTAAGACACTTCAGTATGAGCATTCAGAACTCAATAGAGAGGAAAGAGTAAGCATTAGAAGCTTAGGGGGTCAGGAGGCTGAAGCAGGAGGATGGAGAGTTCAAAGCCAGTCTTAGCGAGGTCCTAAGCAACTCAGTAAGACCCTGTGTCTAAATAATTATTTTAAAAGGGCTAGGGATGTGACTTAATGGTTAAGCACCCCTGGGTTCAATCTCTGGTACCAAAAAAAAGAAGAAGAAGCAGAAGCAGCAGAAGTAGGAGCAGCTTAGGGGTCCTGGCATTCCAGGCAAGATGCTTAGCGGGGAGAGGATGGTGTGAGAGGAAGAAGCCCAAGCTTGGGGATGTGAGCCTGAGAAGAGAGATAAGAGAGGACCTGAGGAGTAAGACGAGGACTGACTTGAGAAAACTCTCTTGTGTTGGTGACATGAAATCATTGGTAATTGTAGTAAGGGCTGTTTGGTAGTGGAAGGCTGGAGGCAGACCCAGTTTTAGAATGAGTTGAGGAATGAGTAGGAGGTGAAGAAATGAAGACAGCTTGGCTTATGAAAGGAGAGGAGAAAGAGGGTAGCTGGAGGCGGGTGTGAGATTAAGGAAGTTTTTTGTTATTTTTTAATGAAGAGACTCAAGCATTTGTAAAGGCCAGTAGAAGAATCCAGAATTGATGGTGTTGGGGGTGTGGGATGACATGATGGCTGAATCTACCTGAGGGAAGAGACATCATTAATCGGGTAGGTGCCTGAGAAAGGAGAAGGGAATTGGCTCCAGAGCTAAGGTGAGGCTGAGTCAGGAGGGACAGCTGAGGGGAAGGATGGGCTGGGGCAGCTGCAGGCAGGCTGGTATGACTGGCTGTGGAGATGAGGATGGTCCCATCTAACAACCCCCTCCTATGAATAACAAGTAAAACTTCCACTACTTACTTCCCTCTTGGGCTGCCCCTGAGGCCGTGTCCATGAGTGTGGTGGCTCAGCTCCTTTACCTCCACATCCCTGCCCTGAAAAAGGCCTCTACTGGAGTGGGAAGGGAGAGAGGTCTCCAGGGAGAGCCCAGAGGGCTCAGCTAGACATATTGAATGACAGGACCAGAAATGACTTCTCTCAGAAGCAGGACCACATGCAAAGGACAAAGAGTCAGACATTTGCTCCAGAGGGAATCTTTACTTTTTTTTTTTTTTGGAAGAGTGTGGGGAGAGAAAGAGAGAGAGAGAGAGAGAGAGAGAGAGAGAGAGAGAGAGAGAGAGAGAGAGAATGAACAGTGGGGGGCCTGGAATCCTGGCGTGGGGGTGAGTGAGGGGGACAGGAGTGGCAGGTGTTCCTTCCTGGGCTTGGCCCCCTTTGAGGTAGAAGAGGAAGAATTTCTTTAGAAGGAATAGAAAGACTGAGACTGGAAGGGGATCAGGAAGCCCTCAAGATGGGGAACACAGTAACCTGCAGAGAGAGGAGAGGAGGGGAGTAGGGAGACAAGGAGCACACCCCACCACACACACTAAAATTCCATTCCAGCTGGGAGCGTTGGCGCATGCTTGTAATCCTAGAGATTCTGGTCACTGAGGCAGGAGGTTCCCAAATTTGAGGCCAGCCTCAGCAACTTTGCAAGACCTCTCAAAATAAAAGATAAAAAGGGCTGGGGATGTAGCTCAGTGGTAAAGTATCCTCAGGTTCAATCCCCAGGATCAAAACCAAAAACAAAGAAACAACAACAAAAAAAAACCCTTCATTCCACTGTAAAGAAATAGCCATGTATGCTAGAGCGGGCCAGGCACACACATTCCAGGTAATCCCCCCTTACCACCACCTTGCAGAGGCTACTACAGGGACTGTGTAGGAAAGAGACCCCTTTCTCTTTGGGATCCAGTAATAGCAGAGAGCCCTGTGATATGAGGCCCACCCGGGTGCTGAGAGTTGAAGGAGGTCCTGGGGAGGCGGGGTGAAGAATCCTTTTTTTAAATCATTAACCTGGATGATTGAAATCTGAACTGCTGAGCCTCCCAGTTCTATTGATTTTCTCTGAAAGCACAGCAGCTGGAGCTGGTGGCTGCCCAGAGACCAGAGAGAGGGAGAGGCAGCCGAGGGGAGGCAGGGAGGGAAATGGGAAACCAGCCAGGGGTGTGGGGCTGGGAAGGAGGCAGGGGCACAGGGCTGAGAAGCAGGCTTTGGGGACAGGCTGGAGGCCAGGAAGTCAAAGCAGGCACTGGGGGTGGGTACAGTCAGCACAGCCACAGAGGCACCACAGAGAGCAGGGAGGAGCCAGGAGAGGATCTGGCAGAGGACAAAACTGAAGCTGGAGAAGAAGTGACCTGCACAAGGTGACAAGGTCAGAGCCTGCACCAAACCGGAACTCAGCTGATTTCACTGCATTGATAGAGGGTACAGAAATAAAGGCCCCAAGGTTGGGGGGGGGGAGCTGAGGTGCTGAACATGAAAAGTAGGCAAGAAGGGGATTCATTTTACATATTACCATTTTTGGAGGACAGGAGCCTCATGAGAACACAGTAGATTCTCACAAAAAATGGCTCTGGTCTGACTGAGGAGGGGTCAGACCATCAGAGTGTTACTGAGCCGGGACGTTGTGCCTTTCATGCAGTGTGTCAATCACTGAAGTGATGAATTTTGCCAAAGAGAAAGAGTATATTCACACTTGTAATCCCAGCAACTCAGGAGGCTAAGACAGGAGGATTGCAAGTTCAAAGCCAGCCTCAGCAATTTAGTGAGGCCCTAAGCAATACAGCAAGACCCTGTCTGTAAATAAAATACAAAAAAAGGGCTGGGGATGTGGCTCAGTGGTTAAGTGTCCCTGGGTTCAATCCCAATACCAAAAACAAAACAAAACAACCAAGAATTTATTCACAAGGCAGTGAAATGTGACAGAGTTGAAGGATATTTGTGGGATAAAGAACAGAGTTGCTATAGTTTAGATCTGGAATGTTCCCACAAAGGCCCATGTGTTAATATCTCAGTCTTCAGCATGTTGTTACTGGGAGATGGTGGAAACTTTAGGAGATGGGGCCTAATTAGTAGAAGGAACTTGGGTCATTGGGCATGTGCCTTGGAAAGGGATATTTGGATCATGGCCCTTCCTTGTCTGTCTTGGTTCCTGTCCTCTGTGAGATGAACAACCTCCTCTGCAAACATTCCCAACACGTACATCATGCTGCCACTGGCCCAAAGCAAGGTGGCCAAGTGACCATGGACTGAAACCTCTCAAACCGTGAGCCAAAATAAACCTTTCCACCTTTTAAGTTGATTTGCTCAGGTATTTTGTAATAGCAACAGAAAGCTGACTAACACAAGGGTGGTCTGAGGTTCAGGAAAGGTGTGGAGGTAAGTAAAGTGAAGGAATAGGTGGTCTGTGCAAACTTGAAGACTGCATGGAAAACAGTGATGTTAGCATATCTGAGAGTGGAGTTTTGGTCCTCTGATGTCAAAAGATCACATAGTAGATACCTGTGCAGGCTCAAATAAAGGGACTGGTGGTTTCAATCAGTTTGATACACAAGGCTAAATAAAACCAATCTAATCCTTAACAAGGTGAATGAGGTGTTATCTATAGTAAAGGTAGCTGAGGTCTATTAGTTTATTGTTTAGTTAAGTGACTTCTAAAATCAGTGATGAAAATAACTATAAGTGAATGAATCTAGAAGATTTGTTCAGATTTTCTCTGGATTTCAAAAGAAAGAACATGCTCTTTGGTTTTTAAACTTTCACTAGGGACAGAAAATGGCTCAAGCCTCTTAGAAAGAAAAAAAAAATTATGAGAGCCATTGCGGTGGCACATGCCTATAATCCCAGCCATTCATGAGGATCAAGAGTTCAAAGCCAGCTTCAGCAAAAGTGAGATGTTAAGCCACTCAGTGAAATCCTGTCTCTAAATAAAATACAAAATAGGGCTAGGGTTGTGGCTTAATGGTCGAGTGCCCCTGAGTTAATCTCTGGCTATAAAAAAATTATGAGGACTCAGTTTTAAGAGGAGGAGGAAAAAACAAGGTAAAAGAAATGCTAGGAACTGCACAGCAAGGAGCACCAAGAAGACTGCTGTCTGTGTCCATGCAGCCCAAACCAGGGCCAGCACAAGATGGGTTTTCAGCAAGACATCATATGTGGCTCCTGGTTCTCCATTATTTCTGACAATAGGACATATAGGCCTCCTATGAAATTCTGAGATAGAAGGGGAGGAGGGCAGGGTCACAAATACACAGGCAATATGTGTCCTCCTAGGACCCTTACCCGTGCCAGCTTCTAGAACAGCTTTTCTATGAGCTGGGGTGGGGGTGGGGTACATAAGGCTTCTTCCTGGGAGAATCGGAAAAGGAGGAAAGGGACAGGCTTCTGAGAGCAGAGGCCATCTGATGATAGAAATGGGAACGGTGAAGACACACATCCAGTGTGGCTCTCATGACATTGAAAATGTCAATTCTATAAACAGAAGCAGACACAACATTTCTGAAGCCAAATTGAAGGTTCCATGGACCCCAGGTTCTGTTTGTGGTTGTGGTACCAGTGGGTGCCAGCCTGGCTGGTCCTGCATCATGGATGCTTTAGCCTGGACATCCCAAAAGAAAAATGTGGCTGTGGGGTGAGGGGCCGTAAGGCTACTGAGTCCAGAGCCGTCTATCCACAATGAATTTCTCTTCCCTTTCTCTGACAGCTCAACATCCTGGTGGACACAGGCAGCAGCAACTTTGCTGTGGGGGCTGCCCCCCACCCTTTCCTGCATCGATACTACCAAAGGCAGCTGTGAGTCCTGGGGAGAGCACAGGGGAGGAACCTTCCCCAAGGAGAGTTGGGAGGGGTGCAGAGAGAAAAAACAGATCCTCAGATCCTTTCTTCCTGCCAGGGAAGGGGAAGGGAAAAGAAGGCAACAGTGGCTAGGGGAGAAGGGTGAAGAGGAAGTTTAAAGAGACATACTGAGGGAAAGTGTGATATGAAGGCCAGCCACCTATAGGAGAAGGAGGCAGAATGCTCCATGGCTCCCCAAGCCATCTCAGCAGGGAGGCAAGGGGGGCTTCACCCAGTGCTGTCAGTGGCTCACAGTTTTCTGACAAGAGCAGCTAAAGCTAGGCTGAAAGTCTGCAGTGGTTAGCTCCCTTTACTGTGTTCTCACCCAGGGACCACTGCAGGTGGCTTTGCATGGTTCAGGGATGTGAAAGAATTTTCCATAACCCCCACTGCCTGGACCCATATCAGGAACTGAAAGCTACAATGTCTTTTCCATGGACCACCCAGAGTGCCACCAGCTGGGTCCAGCTCACTGGTCAAAGGGAGGTTGGAGTGAGTTTTTAGGTCAGAAAGGCAGTGGAGAAAGATCTGGAAGCCCCCTTTAGGCATTATGGGCTAGGGATGTGGCTTAGTGGTAGAGTGGTAGCCTCCAAGCTTTCCAAAGCATGAGACCCTGGATTCGATTCCCAGCACCACAAATACATACATACATACATACATACATACATACATAAGGCATTATAAGGAAATGGCAAGAAGGCATCTAATATCTGAGTCACTTGTGTGAGGATGAAAGCAGAAGCTTGCATCCTAACCTTAGACTTCCAGGCAGGTGCCAGTTCCTGCCTTCTTTGGCCCCCTTCTCTTTTAACATCCCTACCTAAACAAACAGTTGGGGAGGGACAGGGGTAGGAGCAATGAAAGGGCATTCAGGAATTTATCCCAATCCATCACTGCTCCCACTCAAGCCCTGGCTAGTGGCATGCTTGTTGATAAGAATGCTTCACCAGGTGGTGTGCAATGCCTAGCAGCTCTGCTGAGAGGCTTATGCAAATCCTTTCTCTAAAAGAACTTGCTACAAGCTTCCACACTCACCCTGCCTGGCATTTTCTCCATCATATAGATGGTACCACAGGGTCCCAAGGCAGAAAGTAAGTCAATGGCTCCTTTTCTGTGGGAGCCTGCTGGAATCAGGGGGAGAAAGAGATGCTGCTAGCTGTCCCTGCAGCAGCAGCACAACAGCAGACACAATCCACAAAGCCCAGCTTGTTCTTCACAAGCTTGAGCTCCAGATCCAGAATATGCACTACAGAGATAGGACAGCACACTCTGGCAATAGCTCCCCTCATCTTTTTATAAGATCACTTTATAATTTTTTTTTCTGGGTGAGGAATCTAGGGATATTCTACAGAGTAGCCTGACAGCAGATTCTAGGATGTCCCTGAGATAAGATGGCATTGGCAGTAGGTTTGATGGTGGATCTCCATACCAGTTGTTGTGGTTCTGCATCTACAGATTTCTGCCTCCTTTCCACAGGTCCAGCACATACCGGGACCTCCGGAAGGGCGTTTATGTGCCCTACACCCAGGGCAAGTGGGAGGGAGAGCTGGGTACCGACCTGGTGAGCATCCCTCACGGTCCCAACGTCACTGTCCGTGCCAACATCGCTGCCATCACTGAATCAGACAAGTTCTTCATCAATGGCTCCAACTGGGAGGGCATCCTGGGGCTGGCCTATGCGGAGATCGCCAGGGTGAGAGGGACAAGGCCTGACCTTACACACTGAGTCTGCATGTTGCATGCTACCTGCCATGTGGGAAAGGAATTAGGAGAAAGAAGGGAGAAGAATAGACCCAAAGATAGATACATGTTAGTGTGAAGTGTTACTGAGCAGGGGTAGGGTGGTAGTCTTAATTTCAGCCATACGGAGGGCAGAACTATAGTGACAGCAGCTCTTATAGGTACAGGAATAGGTTGTGGTTTCTATGAACTCTAGGATCATTAAAAATGAGAGGCCCCCATAAATCTGAAGTAGATCAGGCATACAAGGATGAAAGAGTCTCTGGCTGTGGGCCATGATTTCCTGTTTGCATTGCCAGTGTCTCTTGCTACCCTCTCTCTAGCAAATCTCAGTGCCTCAACATTGTCTTTCCCAAGGAACATCCCCAAGTTTTTGCTCTTGCCTTCCAGCATAGGCAAAAACTGGCCTCTGTCCACTAGGGTCTTGCATGTGAGGATTCACTCCTTGTCTCTTTCTGCCACAGCCCGACGACTCCCTGGAGCCCTTCTTTGACTCCTTGGTGAAGCAAACCCACGTCCCCAACCTCTTCTCCCTGCAGCTCTGTGGCACTGGCTTCCCCCTCAACCAGTCTGAGGTGCTGGCCTCAGTCGGAGGGAGTATGGTGAGTAGGTCGTCAGAGGAAGTCCTGGCACTGGGAGAGATAGGTGCCATCTGCCCCCCTCCCTCTAGGTTACAACACAGTCATCTCTACCACTTAGAATCAAGAGCCATTATTTTCATCCTTGCATTATTCCTGAAAGAACTCAAGGCATCTATGGTAAACCTGGGATGTAGATTAGGAATATTCAAAGGAAATGAAAATAAGACCTATTGAATTCAGATTACTCAGTCTGATGATCAGAAGGCAAGAGATACATGCAGTTTAAGCTATTTATTAATTAATTAGGACAATGGTGAATAGTTCTCCAACAAGCAGAGAAGATAAAAACTCATAATTGAAGCACATAATCAATCCATTCAACATTTATTCTGCCAGTTTAGGTTTAAATAACTTTATAGCAAAAGTCTCTTTCCCTGAACACACTTGAGAAACTATAAATCGCTTTGGGGCATGATTTGATTAGAAGCAGGAAAATGAAAAAGGTCATCTGTGGAGGGCTTTGCCACCCCCAAGGAATGCCTGATCTTATTGCTTGGTTTCTGGGTGGCTTGCTCTTCCTCCAGACAGAGACACAGATACCTGCCTCTTCTTCTCCTAGATCATTGGGGGTATTGACCACTCACTGTATACGGGCAGTCTCTGGTACACTCCCATCCGGCGGGAGTGGTATTATGAGGTGATCATTGTGCGGGTGGAAATCAATGGACAAGATCTGAAAATGGACTGCAAGGAGGTAATGAAACCAAGGGGCAGCCAAGGGGAGGTGAATGGGATAGATGCCACAGTAAGGGGTGGCTTTTCATTATGGGGTTGGAACAAGGAGGCAAAGGTAGGGGACCTGTGGAGAGGTTGAAGGCTAGGTCTAGAAATCAGAAGCTTAAGGGTCACAGAGCAGGACCTGAGGTTAGGCGCCAGGGATGGGCACAGCACTTTTACAGAGATCATGGGGCTTATGGTCTAGTGATAAAAAGAGCATGGACCTAGTCCCTGACTGGACTCTTTTCACTGACTGGCCAGCTTTATGGTCTCAGGCAAACCATTTGCGAGGCAGTGTCATATGCCACAATAGAAGAGTCCAGCTTTGGAGCCAAAGACCTGAATTTGAATTCGGTTCTGCCATTTACTAAATATGTGCCCTTAGGCTAGTTACTATTCAGTGTTTTCAGTTTCCTCATCTGCAAAACAGAGGTAAAAACAACTTTCCCAAAGATCATGGAGAAGGTCAAGAAAGTGTCTTCAGTGGCTGGCGGTACCCAACAAATGCTAGGTAAACCATTTGGGTCTCCTTCCCTAGATTCTTATGTATGGTAAATTAGTACTCTGACAAACTAAAAAGCACTAAACAAAATTATTTTTAAGATTGGAGAATATCTGCAATTGTACAACATTTAGTGAATGCCTCCTGTCTGCTGGGCACCATTCTAAGAGTTTTCAGTGAGTTAATTTAGTTAATCTTTACAATAACCCCTGAGGTAGGTTAATATCCTCATTTTCGAGATGAGGAAACTTAGGCACAGAAGTAACTGGCTCAAGGAGGTACATACATGAAGTGGCAAAGCCAGGATGCCAACCCAGGAAAGGCTCCAAGCAATCAAACTCACCTCTCCAACTCTGCCCAGAGCCTGGCATCAAAAACTCTTCTAACCCTTTCCTCTCCTTCTCAGTACAACTATGATAAGAGCATCGTGGACAGTGGCACCACCAACCTTCGTCTGCCAAAGAAAGTATTTGAAGCTGCAGTCAAATCCATCAAAGCTGCCTCCTCGGTCAGTGGACTAAGAACAGGGTATAAGAGATGTCACAGTTTCAGAGGAAGTCAGTGAAAGTTGCATTTCTCAGCGAGAGTCAAGATGTCTCATTTAGATCTTTCCACTTAGAGCTCTTAACAACTGCTCTCCTTTATGGGTCTGTTGCTCTTGATACAATCCTCCAGTACAAATCGATTACCTTTGTTGCAGTTCACCTTTCCCTACCTTGGATATTTCCCTAGAGAAGTAAATAAAGGGCCCAGTCAATGTCCTATGAAAATGGGACAGGAAAGAGAGTAGGAGAGGAAGGACAGCAGGAGAGGCCGATTCCTCACTGTTATTCCTTTCTTGTTAACACAGACAGAGAAGTTTCCAGATGGATTTTGGCTAGGGGAGCAACTGGTATGCTGGCAAGCAGGCACCACCCCTTGGAACATTTTCCCCGTCATCTCACTCTACCTGATGGGTGAAGTCACCAATCAGTCCTTCCGCATCACCATCCTTCCACAGGTATGTCCCCAATCTGAGGTGGTGGATCAGAGGAAGAGGACAAAGTACATATTGGGAGATGGACAGCGGGTATGGTTTTATACTTGGAAGACAAAACCAATAAGTGTCCAGTGACAAAAGGTTCTTGGAAAAACCCATCCCCTTAGCACTCAGGGATGGCAGAGGGAAGAGCTAAGTGCAGAGATACCTAGAGGGCAATGATAGGGGGAAGAAGAGAGCAAAGAAGACACCCTCTAACCTTTGATTGCTTGCTTACCCTAGCAATACCTGCGGCCGGTGGAAGACGTGGCCACGTCCCAGGACGACTGTTACAAGTTTGCCATCTCACAGTCATCCACCGGCACTGTTATGGGAGCAGTAATCATGGAGGGCTTCTACGTTGTATTTGATCGGGCCCGGAAACGAATTGGCTTTGCTGTCAGCGCTTGCCATGGTGAGAGTACCAGGAACAAGGGTGTGGGGTCACTGTCCATATTCTGCCAGCAGTTAGGACACCTGTTACTTTGGGAGGGAGTTAACAGATACCTCAAGCTAAATCAACATGTTGTGTGAAAACTAGTGTCAGTGTTTATGGAGGATTTCTTTTTGTTGTTGCTTTCTGGATTGTCTCCCCTGGTGACTCCCTGCCTAGACTGGTAAGCTGTTGGAAAGCCAGAACAGCAAGAGCTGCCTCAACACCTTGGGAAGCTTTAAATGCCAGGCAGCAGGCTGTCAGCTGCCCCACAGTGAGGCTGAATGCCACTTCAGAACGGTGGCAGGGTTTTGTAGTGAAATTTCATACAGTAGGCAAGTGTGCTAGGGGTGTAAGAGGCTAGCTTTTTGGTCAACCCAGAACTACTACTTTTAGGGTATCATTCCTAGTGGATAGATAAGCAGGGCCCTGGGAGACAGGCCTGACTTTCCCACCTACTCCTAAATAACTCCAGGAGGGAGAACTAATTTCAAGGCTGGTTTCGAGGTGTCACTATCAGCAGGTCTTTTGTAGCTGCTCTGTGACAACAAGAGCTACCCATTCACATCTGTCCTTTCTCCAGTGCACGATGAGTTCAGGACGGCAGCGGTGGAAGGACCTTTTGTCACACCAGACATGGAAGACTGTGGTTACAACATTCCACAGACAGATGAATCAACCCTCATGACCATAGCCTATGTCATGGCTGCCATCTGCGCCCTCTTCATGCTGCCACTCTGCCTCATGGTGTGTCAGTGGCGCTGCCTCCGCTGCCTGCGCCATCAGCATGATGACTTTGCTGATGACATCTCCCTGCTAAAGTGAGGAGGCCCGTGGGTGAAGACAGATTCCCCTAGACCACATTTTGGTCACAAGTCGGGAGACTCAGATGGCACCTTTGGCCAGAGCACCTCAGGACCCTCACCCACCCACCAAATGTCTCTGCCTTGGCAGAAAAAGAAGGAAAAGCCGTCAAGGTGGGTTACAGGGCTTGCACTGGTAGAAAACGAGAGGGAAGAAAGAAGCACTCTGGTGGCAGGAATACCCTTGGTCACCTAAAACTCGAGATGGGAAATTCTGCTGCTTGAAACTTCATCCCTGAACCTTTGTCCACCATCCCTTTAGATTATCCACCCAAAGTATTCTTTCCTTACTTCCAGAAGTCCTGGCATTATACCCAGGTTACCCCAGCATGTGTCTCTGTGGTACCCTGGCAGAGAAAGGGCCAATCTCATTCCCTGCTGGCCAAAGTCAGCAGGAGAAGATGCACAGTTTGCTATTGCTTTAGAGATAGGGACTGTAGAAACAAGCCTAACACTGGTACAAAGACTGCCTCTTGAATTAAACAAAAAAAACAATTAGATGGAATATTTGTACAAATGAGGAGTGGTCAGAAAGAGGAGAAGGAGGGCGGGGGGTACAGCAGTTGGGATCACAGCTAGGAAAGGCAGAGATACAACCACTCGCCAGTCCCAGTTTTAGACCTCATCTCCAAGACAGAAGCCCATCTCCTGAGACAGATGTCATTTCTCAATGTTTCTGTGGTCACAGCCTGACCAAAAAGTGAGATGGGAAGAAGGGCTTATCTAGCCAAAGAGCTCTTTTTAAAGCTCTCTTGATTAAAAAGTGCCCATGAAGAAGTTCCACTTAACAAAATAATTTCTACCTTAATTCCACTTGTCTCTTCCTGACCCCTTTCCTCTATGTATGATAGGTGGTAGTGAAACACCCCAAACCCCAAAGCCCCAGGTGTCCTAGGGGAGAGGAATTGGAGTTTAACAAGACTGGGCATTATCTTCCTGGTCACAGGTTCACTCCCTCCCCAAGGCCCCTATTGCTCTGGAGCTTTGCAGCAGAGGTGCTAAAAGGAACAGAGAGAAGGCCTCTCCTATCTAATCCTTGAAAGCAGAATCCTGAAGATTCATTCAACAGGTATAGGAGTGATGCCTTATACCTCTGCCCAGATTTCTTCCTGTTTAGCTGTAAGAAGTGGTAAGATCATTAGATTAATACTGAGTGGTTTTATTGTTTTCTTTGCTTCTCTAATGGCCCCTCCACTTATTTGGCTAAGGCTTCACACACTGGCTAGTGTTATACTATGACTGTCAGCAATCGAGGGCTTTCTGGCTCTTAGCCACTGCCTTTGGTGTCAAGGCTGCTTGGAGAAAGGATGGCAGCCTCAGGCTTCCTTATTTTCTTCACCACTTTTCCTTTGTTGGAGGCTGTCCTTTCTCCTATCCTGCTTTCTGCTCCCCACTCCCATGGGTACCCAGGCTGGTTCTTGGGTTAGGCAGTGGGGACCAAGTTCATTTTCTCCCTATCAGTTCTAACACAGTAGACTATGATACCAGTGTTAGTGGGAAGAGCTGAGTTTTCCCAGTATACCCACTGCATCCTATCCGGTCTACACACTGCTGCCAGGCAGGGTACCTAGCAAGTAGAGAATTATTTGATGAGGGAGAGGGAAATATAAGGAGGGCCTCTGGAGTTGCTGGCCTCTGCCAGTTGCCCACAAGCCATAAACCAATAAAACAAGAATACTGAGTCACAGTTTTTTTTATCTGGGTTCTCTTCACTCCCACTGCACTTGGTGCTGCTTTGGCTGACTGGGAACGTTCCACACCTATAACGACTTGACAGGAAGACTGGAGACTGTCCACTTCCAGCTCAGAACTTACTGTGTAAATAAACTTCTAGAACTGCTACCATGAAATGAAAATGCTACATTCTGCTTTATAATTTGCACCCATGTTGGGGAAACTGGCTTTTCCCCAGCTCTTTCCAGGGCATACAACTTAACCCATTCATTAGTAAGTCCCACTGTCCTATTATTTTTTTTAAGAGAAAACTTGCACTTATTTTTCTTTTTACAGTTACTTCCTTTGAACTATACTGAAACTATGAACTCTAAGTGTGAAAAAAAAATCTCGACAACAGTTTCTTGCTTGTAAAAATATGTATTATACAGCTCTATTTTTAAATTCTACTTCTGAAAAATGACTGTCCCATCTCCATTCACTGCATTGGGGGCCTTTGCCTTTGGTCTGCACAGTTTTTACCACTACAAGCCAGTGGGCAGAGGGAGAAGGGAGAACAGGGGTGGCCAAAATTAATGTGTTGCTTTCTGATTGACCCTGAACAAAGAAGACAAAAAAAGCAATGATGAGGCCCTAGCCACCATGTACAACTCTCTCTGAAACCCCCACCCTCTGCTGGAATTGGCTTCCCAGGGGCTTTCACTGGGAAAGCAGCTAAGCCCCTGATCCATTCCTCCTTTCTTCTCTATTCCTTTGGCTTCAAAAGATTTTTTGGAAGAGAAAGAATATCCCTTACACACATCTCTAATTTCTAAATTTTCTGGGGACACCAGAAGATTTTACAGGTAGCCCAAGGCTGCTAAAAAGTTGAGGGGAAAGAAAATCTTAAGATTATAAAATAAAAACTTAATCCTCCCAAATGAAAAGAACAAAAAGGAACTGGTCTTCCATTTTGCCACCTTTCCTGTAATGTCAGTACCAAACTGGAGGCAGTGATATTTATTAACCAAAGAAAGTAGGTCATCTGACCTCTGAAGAGTTGAGTACTCAGGCCATTCAAATCACCCTACAAGATCCCAGCAAGTTTAGCTTCTTACACTGATGCTGGTCTATAAACCTGGGCAAGTAAGGCAAGAGAAAAGAGGAAGAATTCATCCATGAGCTAATAGGTGAGAATGAAAGATAAAAAAGGAAAATGGTATCGAGACGAGAGCATTTAGTTGGATCCTAAAGGAAATGTCTTTGCCTCCCTGACACATTTTGCTAGACCAGTGTAAGCATTTCCAGGTTCCACAACAGGAAAAATCAGTTGCCAGTAATATAATGATGTCTTTCCTTTGGAGACTTTTTTTTTTTTTTTTTGGATTAACACTCAGTTTTTACTTGCTTAACTCCAAAAGAGAAGGGAGCAAAAGCCATTTCCTAAAGGAATAAAGATAAAAAGGATAGGAAAAGATTCAAAGCTCTAAGAGAGTCACAGCCTTCCCAGGTATAAAACCTAAAAGCCAGAAGTGCTCAGTAAGCAGAGGTGGAAAAATGATCTTGTTCCAGATAGATATTCACAGAACAAATGATTTATAAATGTGAAATCCCACCTCCCTTCTTCATATCACTTTGGTCTCCATTTTTCCCAGGACAGGAAACACATCCCCCATACCTTTCTTGCTTTGGAAATTAAAACCCAGCATCCCAAGATCATTCTGCAAGTAATTTTGCACAGACACCTCCTCACCCCAGTGCCTGTCTGGAGCTCACCCAAGGTCACCAAACAACTTGGTTGTGAACCAACTGCCTTAACCTTCGGGGGGGAGGGGGGTTAGCTAGACTAGGAGACCAGAGTGAAATGGAAGGGGTGAGGACTTTACAAGGTGGCCTGTCAAAACTAGACTAGAAGCCAAGCCAACGGTAGCCAGGGATGGCTTACCCCATGAAAAACCTGTGGGTTGTGCTAATTTCTATCCAGAAAGTAGGTTGGACAGAAGCTGGCAGGGGAAATGGGACTTGGTTATGTGGTTGTTATTCTTGGACTGTGAATTTTGCTGATGTAAAACAGAATATTCTGTAAACCTAATGTCTATGTATAAATAATGAGCATTAACACAGTAAAATATTCAATGAAGAGTTGAACTATTAGGGTTACATTTTTTTACCTCAATCAGAGAGTCTCATTTCACTCATTTGAAGTGGAGTGACTAGAACAACACTGAGGCTTGCAAAGGCTCTCAGTAAGCAAGGCATCTGGTTGGACAGCAGGTGAGCACCAGGCTTCAAATCTGCATACATGAGCCTTAAGGAAATGAACTACAGGCTGAGCCAAACCAAAGCAGGATGGCCTCAGAGCAACAGCAGCTTCCTAGATGTATTTGATAACAGCCCCAGGCAAGGATATCACATTTCAAGGCCAAATTAAACATCATCTTCCCTATAATCTGTAACCCCCAAAAGAATTGCAAGATGAGGGGGACTGAACTGTTTCTGCATAATATACATACTTTCATTTACGAACATTTGAATACAGACTTTCTATACACACATTACCTATATAATAAAAATGTACATGGCATGAGTATATGTCACTGTATAAATATAGAGTTTTAGAAATCTTGAACCCGCGCTTCCTGTTCACATCAGTTTTCCTCTTCTTCCTCCCCAGTCAGGTCCATCATTTAAGAGTTGGACAAAAGGGACAAGTGTCATTTGTGTTGGTCTGGGCCCAGAATTTGATACACTGGAAAGAAAGAGAGACACATCTCAGATTTATCTGAGAAGGGAATAGAGAGTACCATTAAAGTTCAACAAGATTTAAGTCAAAAAAGTTCTTTCTGTGGGAGACTAAACAGGCTATTTCAATGGCTCTTACTCTCAAAAGAATCTTTAGAGCAGATGAACCTGTCCTTTTTACAAGAACCAAGAACTCGGCTATTAAGGGCACTCATTAAGTTGCTTTTTGTTAAGTTGCTACTTCTTATTATCTATTTGATCTGTGATGAGCTTTCATCTAACACATCACCCTCAGAAATACCCATCACCTTATTCAGGACTTTTTCTTACCAAGAATTTAGCTGTCAATCCAGTTTCTACCTCTTGGAAAAACAAAACAAAATAGTTAAGAAGAAATCATCCCTGCTGCTAAAAGATTTACCTCTGCCTGGTAATGTAAGAAAACGGAAATGACTTGGCAATCAGTGAAGGTAATCTCTCATAGGCAGTCCTTCAAGCTACTCTGTTAATGAAGCTACTAACTGCATATTTGTGTTCCTTATTCCTCTCATCTAAGCAGTCTCTTGATAACACTATATTTGAAATGATGGTTAGATACGTAGGATTGCCTCTTACAGTCAATTTTCTAAGAAAGTGACTTATCAGTGGCTTAGTACGAACTACTTACCCAGGGCCCTAAAGGGAATTAGATAAAAAGAAGCTGGGAGACCCCAGATGCAGTATTCTGAATTCTGCTAATGTTTAAGCTACAATTTACTGAAAACCTTATGATTAGACATTAACAGTGAGCATCAATCCAGTAAAATATCCAAGAAAAATTTTCTCAGCTGTCAGAAAACAAACAGTAGAAAGTAAAGAAAGTATGTGGTACTCACCTCCTTGTGCAACACATGGGTACATGCCATTGGATGCAGCTCACTGGGCTGGACAAGTTTCTGGCACATCAGACACAGCTTACAGGTAGCGGGAGCCTGCAGGACAGAGATTGCATGCCACAAAGTAAAGAATCTCTGGATTCTCACCTTTCTTTTATGCCCATGATTTGATGCCAAAAGAAATAAAAGTACAAATACAGATCTTGCTTCAAGTATTCCCATGTTCCCAGTAGGACTATAAACAAAACAGCTGACAAGATGTTGGTTTCCTCCTACACTCCACCCATAAATCCACCCACTTCTTACCCTCAGCTTCTCTATATCCAAGTGTTAAAAGAAAAAAGAGTCTCACATGTGAAGACCTTCCAGGATATGAAACTTGGGCAGAAGGCAAGAACATTGGGGTACTGATTTGGGCCAGCGGAGCAGGATACAAAGCCCGGATCCGACCAAGTGGCTGTGGGTAGAAACAATTTCAGGGTAAGGAAGAGTGATTAACAGTACATATAGCAAAAAAGAAATCATTTACTTCCAAGTTCAGCAAAGCAAGAAAACAGACAAGATACTCTGGCTGTAATGCTTTTTCCCACCCAGAATCTTTAAAGTCTGTCTCTTCTCCAACCTCTCAGGAGGCCTCAGCTCTTTCCAGGCAGCTTTTCTCACCTGAGTGCTTGCTGCCACCCTCTCATGTTCGGCCAGTCGTGCAGCTACTAACTGGATCAGTTCCTCCATGGTCAAGCCTGCCATGGTGGTACGTGCTGTCTTGATTTGCTGAAGAATGTTGGTCATCTGGGCCCTAAGAAAGACAAATGTTGAAGGAGAGGGAGAGAGATTCTATGCAACACCCCTGAAACCTCCACTATTACAAACCATAAGCATTTCTCTGACAAAGATGTTTTAACTAGGGGCTGGGGATGTGGCTCAAGCGGTAGCGCGCTCGCCTGGCATGCGTGCGGCCCGGGTTCGAACCTCAGCACCACATACCAACAAAGATGTTGTGTCTGCCGAGAACTAAAAATAAATATTAAAAATTCTCTCTCTCTCTCTCTCTCTCTCTCTCTCTCTCTCTCTCTCTCTCTCTCTCTCCTCTCTCACTCTCTCTAAAAAAAAAAAAAAAAAAAAAAAAAAAAAAAAGATGTTTTAACTAATCCTTTAAGATACTTACTTATTGCACTGTGGGAACCGAGTCAGCAGCTTCTCTAAGATCTTCTCCAGTTTGTCTACTGGTTGGGGCCGGGGAGTTTCAGTAGAAGCCTTAACACCGCCCAAGCCTGGGGGAGGCGGGATGGAGGCGGCAGGGGGCATGTGTGGACCATGGGGGCCAACAAGGGAACCCAAGCCAGGGCTATTTCTCCCATGGGAGCCAGGAAGGGGTGGGGAAGGCTGGTTAGACTGGGAAAGGGTGGGGTTCAGGATTGGGAAAGACAAGGAACGGGGATCTGCACTGGGCATAACCATGGGCATTGTGACCTGCCCAATGGAGAAGGGCATCCGAGGAGCCAGAGAGGGACTGGGTTGAAATACTTGAAGCATGAAGTCTGTCTGCAAATGGGAAGATGCAAAGGACAAGAGAATGGAAGAAATTTTAGGAAACTGAAATAGAAATCAATGAACAACCCTTACACTAAATAGGGATGGTCCCAATATCTTCATAAAAAGAAGTAGAAGACTCTGACTCTGCCACCAACACAGAAATGTAGACCCCTTCAAAGATTCTCTTACCTCTGATGGGGGTGGAGGCAAAGTTGGGGTAGGGATTTGAGGAAGGCTGCTCAGCTTGGCTCCATTCCTCACTAGCTGGATATGACTGTTAAACTGGTCCTAGATGAAAGGAGAAGAAAGGATCATTCTTTACTTCGGAGATGAGTGAGTCTCTGCAAAAAGCACACCTTTAATTAACAGGAAAACAGGAAGTGGTGAGACAGGCCCCAGTGGCTACACAAAAAAGGCTACCTCCTTGGGCCAGGAATGTAGTTTGGTTGGTAGAGTGCCTGCATAGCATGCACAAGGCCCTCGGCTCAATCCCCAGCACCAAAAAAAAAAAAAAAAAAAAAACTCCCTACTACCAGAAGTATTTGAAACATAAATTAAGGTGATCAAATGATCACCCACTACCACTTACCCGAACATTCTTTTTCATTATCCGAACTCCATTTAGTCTAGTTTCCCACTCCTGCTTGGAACGAACTGTCTCCAGTGTTGGGGGAGTTGATCTTTCAAGAAATAAGAGGAATTTACAGAATCAAATTTTAAATCTCCAAGATAGCAAAATAGTAGTTGGGTAATGAACCTTGAGAGAAAGGTATGAGAGAAGGTATGAGAGCCTGAAAATCTAAACTCCATCAACTTTTAAGCCAAAGATTTGGAAAAGAGGATCAACCACAAAGGGGGTTCTTGTCCACCTTAAAATGTCACAAGAGGCATCCAAATTCCATGGCATAAAGAAGAGAAATGACCATATAAGAAATAAATCTCCTAAGACCTTTGTTATGCTTTGACAGCTTAATAGATTCTATTTATTCAAATGGAAACAATGAAATAAAAAGTACAAAGCTATGAAACTGTAGAGGGAAGAATTTAAACAGTGCAGGAGTTTAGAATACAGGAGAGAAATCACTGATTAATTACTACTGCACTGACATGTCTTCAAATCCCTGTGAAGAAAGAATAAGTGCCAGATTTGCTGGCTTAGAGTTTTAAAAAACTAAAACAAACTACAGAGCTGCTAAACCTTAGAATAGGAAAGTACTTACTTGAGGTAAGTAAGGTGCAGTTCTGCTTCTTTTTCTGCTTCTTCTAATTTCAATACCAGCAACTCTTTCCGGCTTTCTAGTGATAAGATCTAAAGAAATCACACATGTACACATATACATACACTTCATTAATTTTTCATACACAAATACCCCTAGATAGTTAAAACAAGCGCCCACTGGCTCTTCTGATATTATACCAAAAGTATGTACCATCTGAAAGGCCAAAACCAAGGCTTTCAAGATATTAGCTCCTCTCACCTCTGCCTTCCAGGCCCGCTCTGTCTCTTCCATAATGTTCCGATTTATTTCACCATCCTGATTCTTGAGTCTATCCAGTTCCATTTCCCATACCTCTCTGTAAGATAAGAAACCAAGAACAAGACTGAGGGAGAAAAGATTAGTTTGCCACCAAGGCAAAAGGAAAACCCAACACTGGTCTGCCAGGTATGCTACAGAGCATTTCACACTTAATATTCATTATAGATATGGACAAATGGTGTACAGAAAGGTCTACAATTGCATAAAGGTCCTATATTTGGAAATAAATATATTCACATCTTCACTTGCTAAAAAAACATTTCCTTGAGCAGGAAAGAATACCTCTTAGATCCAAAACCCTCCACTAAAGGCAGGACATTCTGTGTTCAAGGAGGCTTAAAATCTTTATAGCATTCCTCTTATTTCCCAATTTGTTTTTTACATGAAGGATGTAGAACCAAACATATCATCTGAAGCACAGCAATCAAACACATCAATACTGACTTACTGACTTCTGCATTTTCTTAGCTATAATACACATTCTTCCAAAGAAAAACATGTTCTCTTTATATCTCAGGACTTTTCATTTTCATCCATATCCTCCTACCCCAATTCTCATCCCCAGAGTGTAATATTCACCTTTAGGATTAGAATGATCAACTGTTTCAGTTTATCCAGTACCGCAGGATTTCCTAGGATGTGGGACTTTCTGTGCTAAAACTAAGGCAGTGATTACTCAGAATTGAAGAGCCCATCATGAAACAGAGCCAGCAAAAGAATTTTCTTCTATTACACTGTATTGTGGTAAGTTTTACAGCAGAAAGCATGGACTACCCAGGTTAACAAATAGAATGATACAAAATGTTTAACTTATTTTCACTGGATTTTAAAAAGATGAAAAAAAAAAAAGGACAGCTTGAGAAGAGTTACATCTAAAGAGAAATGTTTACCACTTCTCTTTTTTTTAATATTTATTTTTTTTAGTTGTAGTTGAACAAAATACCTTTATTTTATTTACTTATTTTTATTTGGTGCTGAGGATCAAACCCAGGGCCTTGCACATGAGAGGTGAGCTCTCTACCACTGAGTACAACCCCAGCCCTTACCACTTTTCTTTAGTGACAGAAACAAATTGAACCCCTCTCATTTTTTAGTAACTTTACATAATTAAAAGGGAGCAATTAACTTTCTGAGGTCCCTTCTCACATATTCTTGCTTTTGACCCAACTTACCACACATCCTGTTCTCTATTTCATAGATACTGGGACATATTTGTATGTGCATATGTATGCTTTATACACACATTCACTCACTTATTCATTTTTACATTAAGTCTACTCTCAGCAGACAAGGCCTATTCATCTTTATAACAGATAAGAGTTAAGTGAACATTTCTCTCTTATTCTCCATGTAGTATCCCAAAATTAACTTTCCAGCAGAGGAAGAATTCTATAGAAGTTCTTTAGAAAAAAAATTTCTAAGTAGCCATGTTTTCCTGCTACACCACATATTCTCAAATTCCAAACCCTCTTAACTGTAAACATATGTGAAATAGGTTGCACAGTCCATCACTGATCCACTTAGCTTACTTTTCACTCTTAGACAATGGATAATTACATGAAAATATGACACACTGTTAGTTGTCATCTATGACTGATGTTATTCTTTTTTTGTTAATTTTTTTTAGTTGTAGATAGACACAATACCTTTATTTATTTATTTATTTATTTATTTATATAAATAAATAAATGGTGCTGAGGATCAAACCCAGTGCCTTGAACATACTAGGCAAGTGCTCTACTACTGAGCCACAACCCCAACCAGTGACTGATGTTATTCTTGAATATTATAGATGGTCAATGAACATCTATGACTCACTAAACATATTTGTCAATGACGAATATATATATGAAAAATCCTCATAGACTGATGGAGACAATACACATATTTACACACAAAAAAATCTTTTCCTTTGAGTATTTGGCCACATTTACTTCACTGGAATCCAACAAGACAAAGGGAACTACTAAAAACCACAACAAAAATACTTAAGGGGTTCTTGAATATAGTTACAAAAATACTCAGCCTTATCAATATGCTGACTACCCTATAACATAAGCACCAGATTTCACTTCATTAAAGTATACTAGCTGCAACCCATCATAACAAATAAATCATTCCCCATAGTAGACAGTTTTAAAAAAATTCTTTAGAGAACAGAAACCACTGGTTATGTTTAACTTTTTTAATTCTTAATCTAATTTCTTTCAAGTCCCATACTTCTGTTATTTTGCAGTTAGTTTAAGGTACAAATGGTTCAAATGAATAAATTCATTATTATTCATCAGACGTGTACTATTCATCAGACTGTATAATCCTGGCTTATTATAGTTTCCAATATGCTTGCATAAATTTAAAAATTAACTTTGATCTTGATCATGTAAGCCAGGCAAATTATTAAAAGTTTAGACAATATAAAACAGAAAAGGGACACTTCACAGAAGAAACACAATCGACCAACAAACATATAAATAAGTGTTCAACATCTCTAGCAATTAGAGAAATGCAAATCAAGATTTCATCTCACTCCTGTCAGAATGGCAATCATCAAGAATACAGGTAACAATAAACACTGGCGCGGATGTTGGGGAAAAGGTACACTCACACATTGCTGGTGGGACTGCAAATTGGTACAACCACTATGGAAAGCAGTATGAAGATACTTCAGAAAACTTGGAATGGAACACCATTTGAATGGAACACCCAGCTCTCCCACTCCTTGGTTTATACCCAAAGGACTTAAAATCAGCATACTACAGTAATGCAGCCAGCAGCTCAATTCACAACAGCTAAACTATGGAACCAACCTAGGTGTCCATTAATATAGATGAATGGATAAAAAAAATGTGATCTCATATATATAATGGAATATATCAGCTTTAATGAAGAATGAAGTGAAATTATGGTATTTGCCAGTAAATGGATGGAGTTGGAGAATGTCACTCTGTGCGAAATAAGCCAAAGCCAATCCCAAAAAACAAAGGCCAAATGTTTTCCCTAAAACAGATGCTAAATCACAATAAGGTCGGGCAGGGCAGGGGGCACTAGAGAAAATAGCATTACCTTAGATTAGGTAGAGGGAAAGGAAAGGTGGGAAGGGGAGGAGATATGGGGATAGGAAGGATAATAGAAAGAAACAGACATTATTAGTTTATGTATATATGCAACTGCATGACCAATGTGATTCAACAACATGTACACTCAGAAAAATGAGAAATTATATCCCATAAGTGAATAAATGCCTTCTACTGTCATGTATAACTAATTAAAACAAATAAAAAATAAAAAAAAAATAAACAGAAAAAATCTAATGTAGTGTTCTCAGCATTTTTACTTACTGGTTGCATCACCTTAAACAAGTTACTTAATCTTTCTAGGCCTCAGTTTCTTCATCTGAAAGATGAAGAGTACCTACATCGTAGGATTAATGAGTTAACTGAGAAAACACACATAAAGAATTTAATAGGATGCCCAGCACATGGCAAGTAGCCCACAAACGTTATTCTTTTTTAAAAACTCAATTTCTCACAATCATACTATTCATAAAAAATCACTATTATACTTCTTTCCAGACTTTCAAAACAAATATTTGCATACTTGTTTATGTATATGTAACATATGCACATAATATTTATTTATTTGTTCTAATCAATTATACATGACTGTAGAATGTTCTTCAATTCATTGTACACAAACAGAGCACAATTTTTCACATCTCTTGTGATACACAAAGTAGGATCACACCATTTGTGCAATCATACATGTACCTAGGGTAAAGATGTCCGTCTCATTTCACCATCTTTCCTACTCCCTTTGCCTCAAAGTTCTTCCACTCATGCCATTCCCCTCCCCCACCCATTAGAATTAGCATCCACTTATCACAGAAAACATTTGGCCTTTGGTTTTTTGGGGATTGGCTAACTTCACTTAGCATGATATTCTTTAACTCCATCCATTTACCAGCAAATGCCATAATTTTATTTCTTTTATTACTGAATAATATTCCATTGTGTATTATATTTTCAACATCTTACTTTTCTATATTAATAAGTATTTTTCAGAAATGTGGGGTTTTTTGGAGGGTGGTGGTACTAGGGATTGAACCCAGGGCTACTTACGAACTAAGTCACATCCCCAGCCCTTTATCTTTTTTATTTTGAGACATGATCTCACTAAGTTGCTTAAGGCCTTCCTAAATTGTTGAGGCTGGCCCTGAACTTGCTATCCTTCTGCCTCAGCCTCCCAAGTCACTGGGATTATAGGTATGAACCACCAAGTCCAGTCATAAATGTGAGTTTTAATGACTGTTTAACATACAGATCTACCTTTTTCTTTCTTTCTTTCTTTCTTTT